ATGTCTGATGTGTTGGATATTGTTCTTACCATTCTTTAATTTCTAGCAATCATGATTGTAGTACACGTGAATATTTGATCATAAAAGTTTATTCCTATGCAACTACAAGTCTTAAATTCATTTGGTGACCTTCGTTGGTGGTGGTTCTCTTTTTGTCTCTTTGTCTTAGATGAGAAGGTTCCTAGTGAATTGAAAAGAGCCATCATGCAAGCTCGATTGGACAAGAAACTGACACAAGCTCAACTTGCTCAGGTGAGTCCTCTCTCTATTTCTGCATCCAAGAACACACATTTGTGTTCATTGCACACAGATGAAGAAGGTTACCGTTTGTTCATATAATTTACTTCCTCCTAACCTTGCCATCCTTGCTTGCTTGGCAGATGATAAATGAGAAACCGCAAATCATCCAGGAATATGAATCTGGAAAGGCTATTCCTAATCAGCAGATAATTTCTAAACTTGAGAGGGCTCTTGGAGCAAAACTGCGAGGAAAGAAGTAAAATGAAACCAACAGGGAGGGAAGTCAATCTCTTGCACTTTCATTGTCAGTTTTGAGTACTAAAAGTGATGGTGCACCGTGCGCATGAACCCTTGTGTCCTTTTCATTTAACCGCTGTTATGCTCAACTGTTAGAACTCTGGAATATGGATTTGGTTTTCCTTGTGAAACATGGATGTTTTCTTGGTGAAAATAAGAATATTACAATCTGGTGTTTGTAAATCTTTTGCTGTCCACCACCCCCCCCCCCACCCCAACCCCAACAAATAGTCTGGTAAATGCCATTGCTTGTTCCATTGGGGATGAATTGTCGGTTGATAGCAGAAAATTTTCAAGTGCAAAAATTCAAATTTTAGGTTTGGGGTTTGATATTGTGTTTAGAATTCCAGCAAGCAGCCTGGTGAAGAATCATGCTACTTGTACAATTTTATTTGATAATCTTGGTTGACAACTCATACGTAACATCATTACATTCATCTATTTCAAAAATTGTTTTTAAAATCAATCGGCCGAATTTTAACACCACCAAGGTTGTTAACCCCTAATTGTCAACAAGGATTGTACGCACAGGTTAATTCCTTACAAATTTGCATATTTCTGTATAATGTTGACCACTATGTAGGTTTCCTGTTATGTAGCATTATTGGTGTCTAGCTCTCGTTTAGGTGACACTAGAGTTCACTGCTTACGACTATTTGAAGTATTAAAATAATAATAATAATAAACCATCAACGATTTTGCTTGAAGCAAACGAGATTAAGAGATGGTAAAGATGGAAGTAGGTTCCTAATCTTCAAAACAGAACGCTCAAGTCCCCAACCTTAGAAGCATTTTGAGTCTTCAATTCACGAAAACCTTTCATTTAACCTATACAATGTTAAATTCTGTCTCGGTTTGGTCTCATCTTTAATTTTTTTTTAAAAAAAAAAACTCATTTACAACCAATAATTTTATGAAATCCATAATTTATTTTTTTCGTTTCAACTACACATCTTACGTGACAATGATCTTGTTACCACTGCTCACTGCCACTGACGCCAAGGCAACACATTGTTACCACTGTGAACAACAATGCCAACACTTTAAATAATCAATGACACAAATTTTAACAATATTTTAAAGGGGAACTTGCAAAAAAAGTCCACTTTTACAGTTTTTTACAAAAATGTTCAAAATTTCTTCAATGTTCATTTTACTATAACATAGACAAAAATGCCCTCATTACAATTTTAAATTTCACAATAAAGACAAAATTATTTATATAATTAAAAATTGTATTGACCAATAATAACTTGACACATAACATATACTACTCATTTTATAAAGTGTCATGTCAATCATGCATTAAATGTTCACTTATCCCTATAAGTGAGTAAATAAAATATTTATGAATTGTCAAGAAGTACATTTAAAATGTCAAGAATATTATGAAATGTAAAGAACTCTCATGCTCAGAGCAAAATATCGTTCTAAACAAATAAAGTATCAAAATAAATATGGTCCAAATGTCGATAACAACTTTTAAAATGTCTAGAATGTCGTAAAATGTCAAGAATAACAACTATTAAACACAACTTATCAACAAAAACAAGATTTCAAATAAAAATTACCCTCTACAGAGAATTGTGGAAAGCCTAATCAACTGCAAATTTGGATAAGATTAAATTTTTTGAAATGAAATTATATGATTTGCTTATGAATCGGAAGCATATAATTATTTTTTAGTGTTAATGACTTTCTACTACATCTTCTTCATTTTTTCCCAAAATTATTGGTCAATATCTAACAGATAATAAAAACAAATGAATCAATTATGTATTAACTAACATTAATGTAGCTTCTCATGAAAGCTTCTTGCTCTTCTCGAAATTTCGTGACAAATTGAAAAAAGAACTTCATTTTTCATCGTGGGTATAATAGACAATTTTGTACCAAATTTGGTGTTATCAAAATTAGACACTTTTCGATTGCCAAGCATGAAATTGACTATTTTTGTAAATTCCTCCATATATGAAAGCCTAATCAACTGCAAATTTGAATAAGATTAAATTTTTCGAAATGAAATTATATGATTTTCTTATGAAGTGTGTTTGATGGATATTATTGATGAAAGAATGTATTTTAAATAGTGATATGATAGAAAATATGTGGTTAAAAAGTAAAGAAAAATTATTGATGTGTTGAACAATATTATTTTATTGAAAAATGTGTGATTTAAAATGAGTTTTGAAATAATGTATTTAAAGAATGTGTGTTAAACAAGAACTGAATTGGAAACATATAATTATTTTTTAGTGTTAATGACTTTTCTATTTCATCTTCTTCATTTTTTTTCAAATGCTTGGTCAATACCTTATAGATAATAAAAAGAAAATGAATCCATTAGGTATTGGCTACTCTTAATGTAGTTTCTCATGAAACTACTTGTTCTTCTTGAAATTCGTGATAAATTGAAAAAAAAAATGCTTTATTTTTCACTGAAGGTATAATAGATAATTTCGCACTAGGAGCATGTTCGGTAGATATTAAAATCGAAAATATAGTCGTTATTGAGTCTTACTCGTCTAATAAAAGTCAACAATAATAGTTAGTTTTTCAATTTTAATCTGATTTTAATCTCTACCGAACATGTCCTAAATTTGACAATTTTTTCAAGAGTTATAAAAATTAGACACTTTTCAATTGATAAACATGGATTGACCATTTTTGTAAATTCCCATATTTTAAACAATTAATGACAAGAATTTTGACAACTCACACAATATCAACAACAATGTACAACTAGATTAATTCAACTTTCAATCAAGCTAGGGTGCCAGAATTTTTTTGACACCCTAGTTGACATACACACACAATAGGGGTGGGTGGGGGGCTTTTTTTTGCATTTTTTATTCATGTGGGGTCAGCACGAGTCCCACTCGAATGTGAGAGTAGGTCAACCAGGTGGGCAAATTTCATCTGGCAAAGGAGCTTAATTCTTTATGTATTGACCAATAATAACTTGACACGTAACATATACTACTCATTTTATAAAGTGTCATGTCAATCATGCATTAAATGCTCACTTATCCCTATAAGTGAGTAAATAAAACATTTATGAAATGTCGAGAAGTACACTTAAAATGACAAGAATATTATGAAATGTAAAGAACTCTCATGCTCAGAACAAAATATCGTTCTAAACAAATAAAGTGTCAAAATAAATATGGTCCAAATGTCGATAACAACTTTTAAAATGTCTAGAACGTCGTAAAATGTCAAGAATAACAACTATTAAATACAACTTATCAACAAAAACAAGATTTCAAATAAAAATTACACTCCACCGAGAATTGTGGAAAGTCTAATCAACTGCAAATTTGGATAAGATTAAATTTTTCGAAATGAAATTATATGATTTTCTTATGAGAGTGTGTTTGATGGATATTATTGAAGAAAAAAATGTATTTTAAATAGTGATATGATGGAAAATATATGGTTAAAAAGTAAGGAAAAATTACTGATGTGATGAAAAATATTATTTTATTGAAAAATGTGTGGTTTAAAATGAGTTTTGAAATAATGTATTTAAAGAATGTGTGTCAAACAAGGACTGAGTTGGAAACATATAATTATTTTTTAGTCTTAATGACTTTTCTATTTCATCTTCTTCATTTTTTTTCACATGCTTGGTCAATACCTTATAGATAATAAAAAGAAAATGAATCCATTAGGTATTAGCTACTCTTAATGTAGTTTCTCATGAAACTACTTGTTCTTCTTGAAATTCGCGATAAATTGGAAAAAAAAAATGCTTTATTTTTCACTGAATGTATAATAGATAATTTCGTACTAAGAGCATGTTCGGTAGAGATTAAAATCTAATTAAAATTGAAAATATAGTCGTTATTGGGTCTCACTCGTCTAATAAAAGTCAACAATAACGGTTAGTTTTTTAATTCTAATCTGATTTTAATCTCTACCGAACATGCTCTAAATTTGACAATTTTTTCAATAGTTATAAAAATTAGACACTTTTCGATTGACAAACATGGATTGACCATTTTTGTAAATTCCCATATTTTAAACAATTAATGACAAGAATTTTGACAACTCACACAATATCAACAACAATGTACAACTAGATTAATTCAACTTTTTATTACCACTGTTGGGAGTTGCCGCTGCCAAGGTTGACACTTGACACAGTCTAGTACTAATAGAGAAGCCTACACGTAGACTAACACGTGTCCCCATGCATGCATGCATCAACTCTCTATAGAACACGTCATCAACTTTTCTATTTTGCCCTAACAAAGAAAGAGACAGCACAACTTGCTAATTGACCAATAAATTGGGTAGACGTTTTCGAAAATTTTAAGAATGTATCCTAAACAAGTACTTAATAAACGTTAAGAGTGGTAAATTTTCAAATATATTTCAATTTAATACTACATATCATAATCTGAAAATACAAATTGTGATGTACTCTCTAAATCATAATCGGAGAATATTTCTAAAATTCATACGTTGCCTCTTTGACGATCTTGTTCAACACCCCATGCATGAATTCCAAAGTGCAACTCGGCGGCCGCCACTAGGAATTCTGCCGCCTGTTGCGGCGTCAAGAGTTCCACCACCGTCTCGATAGTCTTCAGCCGGAGGCCGTCCGCCTTGTTCAATATTCTTGCTAGTCTTTCCATCTTCTCATCAAAATCTCCACATAATCCCACTATATCACTTGCACTATCCTAATTACCAAAGAAATAAAATAAAACTGAAGTGCATTTAAACACTAAAATTAATTTAATACTTAGTTAAACGAATTATAAGCAATAATAATTAATTAATATAAATGCATACACACACTGTTAATTTTAATTAATTTAGGCATCATAATTAATTAATTAAATGCATGCATGCCTGCCACTCGGAGAGTTCATCGGTAATTGCATTTTCTCCATTCACAGTCTCACACTGAAGCTCGCTGACACGACGGAACTGGCCGGGAGAGAGGTCCCCGAGGTCTCCGGTACGGAACCCGCGGAGAATATCCACCACACGGGACTCAAAAAGGATGCTGGACTCGGTGTACACAAGGTGGAAGACGGTGGTCGGTCGCCACCCGCCGATCCAGTGGAGAGAGCGCTCAAGGGAGGTAGTCCACGGCGCGGTGGAGAAGGACAGTACGTCCTGCTTGATGGCGAGAGATTTGACTCTGTAGTACTCAGCGCAGTGGGACATGACCTTGTTGACCAGCTGGCGTAGGTGGTGGTATTGCTCCTCCGTGGTGGGCGGTCTTGGGGCTTGGTTTAGCTGGTGCACCAGGTGGCGGAGCTGCTCAAACCATGTGTCGTGGAATCGCTGAAAACTCATTTTTCTAGGAACCTTAAGTGTGTTTGAGAGAGAGGGTGGGCGGTGAGATGAAGGGTTTATTGGTGGGCAGCTGGCTTTATAAGGGAAGTGAGGCCGCTGCTAGCGGTGGCGCATGGAGCTGACTTGTAAGAACATGATTGGTAGTTTTCTGGTTTCTTGGCAGCTCAGCTAGCTATAGAAAAAATATAGGGAACAAGGGAAATAACATATTGGCCAGTGAAAATTAAAAAATGGTAGCTAGGATTAAAATTAAAATTTAAGTTAACAACATACTCATAACTTTACAACTACAAATTTCATAAACTTTTATCAAAATTTACTAAAAATTTAATTTTAATCATCATGACTAAGTATAATCATATTAGGGTCTCGACTTGTTGTAGAACAGAACCCCATGAAAGTTATCTTATGCTAATTTTCTTTAAAAGTTCTTATAGTAAAACAGAGGGTTTCCAAAAAACCAATAAAACAGATTTTTTTAAAAAAATTATTCTTGTTCTTAAAGGTAACTTTTGACTTTTCAAAAACCCAACGGAATTGAAAAAGAAAAATGCTACTTGTATATCAAAAAGTGTACATCAAGGTCTACATCCCCTCACATGAAGGAGTCCACTTGAATAAAATATTCGAGTGGACCCCTTATCCATGTGAGGAGGGTGTACACACCGTGATGTACACCCCGATATACTAGTAGCATTGCTCATTGAAAAAAGATGAATGTACAGCATTTTTACACATTAAGTTTGACAGCCTTCTCACATGTGCGTGAGGCCCGTGATTATGCGCCTCGTCCCCCAAGTGAGAGGGTTGTCAAAATATACGTGTAAAAAGGCTGTAAGTGTAGCATTTCTCAACGGAATTAGCAATTAACTTGGAATTCAAATGTTGTATACACTTCGTCAGTTAATATTTTTTAGTGGCCATTACTAATGAGAAATATCGTGTTTTGTTGATTTGAAGGAGTAGAAATTCTATTTTGATTCATCATTAGTTTGTCACGTACGTTTGACTATTTGAACAATTCAAATATATCTAAAACATACTTGGACCGTCATATTATTTTACTCGTCACTAGAGTGAATTTCAAAAGAAAAATATCTTTTCCGTTTGAAAGCCGTTGAAACTTTCTCAAAGTTCACAACACTGGTAACCGAAATACCCGTGTTGTATGATGCTGAAACAATTGTTTTATGTACCTTGTGATGTTGAAAGGGCAAGGAAACTAATAGTATATATATTCTTCAAGTAGGTCACAAGGGATGCGATGATGCTACAATATTGTCCAGTTTTAGGTAAGTGATGTCACCTTGACCGTACCCACAAGAAGTTGGACTCAGGGTAGATGGAGCCCCAACTGTAAGCCGGCCCATCAATAATTCCATCAAAGGCCCAAAATATTTTTCTAACTTTTTATACCAAACAAATGGACTGGCTCATGCTGGCCATGATCCGAAGAACCACAATACACATCTTCGTACTACAATTCCAAACTAGATCCAACTCACCCTTACGCTTCCAGTCCAACTAAAAGTGTTGTGAGGGTTTATTTTGAAACATTTGTTTAGCATCTGTTTGGTAAAAATTTTAATTCAAGTCAAAATTAATAATTAATCTTAACCACATATTGTATACAACCTATAACTTTTATCAAAATCTATTAAAAATCTGATTTTTATCCCTTCCAAATAGCAACTTAATAAGAATCATCCATCTGAAGGTGATATTTGAAGATAAATATGTATTTAATTATTTTAAATGAAATTTATTTATACTCCAAGAAAAGTTTTGAACACCATTTACAATTTTTCCTTGTTATTTTACTCTTTATTATTTATTTATTTAAAGAGATGGACAAAATGGAAGAAATGACAATTTTTGTGACATAAATGAAAAGTTATGAATGTATTATACTTAAAATATGTTGGAAGGTTAGTTTTTAAAGGTTGAGGAGGTAAAATGCATCGTGCCCTAAACATAAGAATTTTTCCATTTGTACAGGGGAGGAAATCTCCCAACAGAAAACTCACATGGAGGTGGGCCCCACGTAAAATTAAATGGGTTATGCTATAGATACATAGTCCATAACATAAGGGTATCCATAATGGACACCATTTTCCCAAATTAAATATTGCCAAAAATGAGGGCCCCACCTTTGTTGTGTGTTATCGTAGTTTTCTGTGTGCATAGTTTCTGTACATGGCAAAGCTGCATAAAATAAATACTTTTAGTCAGTTAATTATAACCTTTCGTTTTAGTGATCAAAATAGAAAACATTCAATATTCCGAATTAATTTCTGTAGTTGGTTAAAGAGTTTGAAAAAATAATTAAAATTAATGAATAATAAGTACCGATGTTAATTCAAGGGAAAGTAGGGACACTAAAAATATATAAGCAAAGTCACATCATGCCCAAAAAATTAATTACTACATTCTATAGTATTTAAAAATTTATTATTTTGATGTTTATAATATTATTTTAAATCGAAACCAAAAAAAAATGTAAGAAATGTAAATTAGGAATATATACTTGAATAATCAATACAAAACGAATGTAAATGAAGAGGATTGATCAAGGCACCGTTGACAAAAGGAAAATCATGTAGGGGCAAAGATGGAAAATCAAAATTTTCTCCATCATCCAGACTTCAACTTTTCAACCACATAGTTCATCAAAATATGATGTTTAACAAAACCAAATAAGGGCTGAAGATTTATGAATCTTTCCGTCCACCAAGTGCAGCCATCAACATTCACAACTCTCTAACAGCACAATTATGCATCAAGAAGCTCAAACCATCAATGATATCCAATGTATATCTAACTCGACCTCTCTTCCAGATGTACTTCTTGAGATAAGGCTGTCCTATAATTCCAATTTTACTTCAAATCAATTAATGTTAGGGGTCAAAGACTCAGCCAAACTCTCCAACTAGGCATAAATGGTCTTAAGCGGGGGAAGAATGTATATCTAATTAAAATTTTCAGCATAATTTCGAAGTTCACCTAAAAGGGTGGAAAAATAGCCCGAGGAGCTATTCAATGGCTTCATCCTTGAAGTGTCAAAATGGGCATTTCAAAACCAAACCAAATTGACATACCAATCTAATCTTCCTCATGCCATTAAGCTTCTGAAATAGACAAGAAAAATTTCTTGCTGCCATGGTTGAGAAAAATTATGAGAAAAAAAATATAACGAAAGTCAAGAACCTGATAGACAGCATCATAATTATATCTATGCTAAATGATCCATGTTTAAGCAGAATCTTTATCATCAACATTGCCTATTCTCTAAATTCTCTACAATATGCAAATGAGATGTAGCTCAAGTGGCAAAGTAGAAGACCTAGGCACCATGGGGTTCATGTCCTACCAGTAAAGGGCTCTTATTTGCCCTACTATAATATCAAATTATTTGAAATGTCGAGATTTACATACAATTATGTCTATTACGGCTGCTGACATTGCAATAAATTTTGGTTTTTTCACGTTGGTCGAGATGCTAAAACCCCATTTAGTAGATTTTAGACTTAAAACTCACTTGTAAGGGGAGGGTTCCCAAGTGATTTTACATGTCCACAAGTCAAGTCTAAACAATATAAGACACATTAGAGTTCTTACAATCCTCTCATATCACAATTGACGTCCACGATGGGCCATATTCTCGATGGGCTACTTTAATAAACGTCTTTCACTTTAAGTAACCCTCCCGAATCACCTGTTGGCAACGAGGATAGTCCTGAGAAGGGTAATGAAACGGTGTCTAAGTATAAACCCACAAATCAAGCCCTTACTTTAGGACCGTGGTTAGCACTTAAAAGAGTAATTGCAAAAAAAGTATAGTCACAAGTGCAATTGCTAGAAAATTGTAGTAATGAAATTCAACATATCCAAAGTGAATAGATCATATTATCTTCTATACCAAAACATTTCTCTTATTAATTTTATGCAATCCATAAACTATAACACAACATTAACAGCTTTTTTTTTAAAAGAAAAAATCATGAAATCCTAAGCAATTTGCTCCATACATCAGAAACAAGAAGAAACCATGTATAAATCAACTTACTACATCAGTATCCCACATAAATAATCATTAGATTAATTATTNCCAGTGTTTGCCCATCAAACTGTTGTTGCTTTTGAGTCGTAGACTTTCTTTCCCAATCTCTCCACTTGTTAATCGCAGCAGTGCACAAAACTGAAACAAAAAAGGGCATAATTATTCCTATCGGATACATATGATTTAAAACAACACCCAAAAAAAAATATAAATAAATAAATAAATAAAATTGAAGAAATGCGTTCAGAATGTTTAAATACATACATCCGGCGCCAGCGAAGTACAGAAGGCGAGCGAGTTTCGGGCCAACTTCTTCTCCCACCGGTACTGGTATCATCTCTCTCCTCTCTAAAATGGGCTTTTTTCTGACTCAGTGTGTGTGGCTCTCCCTCGACATATGTTTAGCCCTATAAAGGCGAAAGGGTCACATTTTACTCCTAAAATATGCATAATAATGCTTATGCATAATCAAGTTATATAGTAATTTACAGAACGAAGAGTGAGAAAGTTTTATTTATTTATTTAATGAAATAAATTTTAATCTAATCATATCTCACCACATAATACGTGTGTAAACCTTCATGGACATGTAGAACAATCGAAATATGAATTTTATCATTTGTATAGTAGAATTCCGCCCTCTTTAAATATCGCTCTTTTTGCCTCAAGTAGTGTTTTAAGTGATATTTAAGTGTCGATAATTGATAAATCATTTTAAAAGTAGACATTATTCTTAAGATGATATATATTTGAAGATACACAGACACTACTATAATACGAATGGTGCTACACAACATTATTCGTTTGCAATAGATAGTGTCAAGTCCAAATTATAATTGGCAATATCAAAATTTGTAATTGACAATTCCTTAGTCAATATTATGTCCTAATTGAATTGTATTAGAAGTTTATCACGTTATAATTAAAGTAAAAATAGTTAAAGACTAATAGTATAGGTCTCGAAAGAGACCAATATGTCAAAGATGTCCAATAAGATAACATATAATCAAGGAAGTGCAATTAGAAGTCTAAAGATTGTCAAAGAACTGCACAAGTTATACTCCAAATTCTCAGTCGCGAATTTCAACATATTTTCATATAGAAAATATTGGAATTTGGATAAGGCTATTTCTTAAAGAATTATAACAATTTGAATTAGTTTTCGAACCCATTTTGAATCACTTTGATAGGACATCGAGAGAGAAAGTTATGATAAAAATATTGAGGACTAGTCAGCTGCTGCTCTCTTGTCACTGGATTGGCGCTCGAGCAACGAGTCGACGTTCAAGATTCTATTTTGCTTGAAACACTTGATTTTTTTAATCCCAAACACTTTCCCCTATATATATATATATATATAGAGAAATGATCTAATGAGCACCGGTGCTCATCTTATCCTAAGCACCGATGAGTTGGCACATTAATTCATTGGTGGATAAA